TCGAGGTGTCGCGCGAACTTTGGGGCAAAACCCTCTCGCCAGCGACACTCGGCAACGGTGGAAGCGGGGGGTATTGACCGTCGACCAAAATCATTATTTCCGCACCATTCCAAGCAGCGTTGGCCGCCTTTGCACCTGGCAGGCACCCCCCCTTTGAGACCAAGAGCGCGGATCCACTAGCGTTGAAGCTGCTTCTTTTGCAGTGGTCGAGGGGTTGAGCAACGACAACCGGGAGAGCGGAGCTCTCTAAGGAGAAAGCGGGGAGGTCGTTGCCGAACGCTGCAGGGGTACATGCAAAGGCATGCAAGTCGTCGACATCTCCCTCGATGCTCGCGTAGCAAGATGCAATATCCGCTCTTCCACCTTCTCCGTCCTCTACGCCGAAGCCGATCTCGCCGACTTGGGGTGCTCTCACTAGCTTAATCTTGACCCGGACCTGAGTTTCCAGCAGACGGTTGATGTTGTCCAGGGTCCATTGACGGATCTCCACGCCAGCTACCGTCGTGAGAATGTCTCCCTTGAGCAGTACGAACGAAGCAGCACTCTCGGGTACCACCCTGGGTGCGCGGACGAAGGGACTTGCGCGTCAGGGGGTGCTTGCTACGTTTGACAGAGTTGGTTGGGCGGGGCCACCGTGATCGTATCGGCTTGAATGGGGTGTTGTGGTGCAACAGCGACACGTGTGTTCATGCAAGACTGTACCTGTCAACCACGGCACCCCTCAGCAGTGATCCTATTTTCAATTCGCTGACCAGGTGAATGCCGAGTCCAGTCGTTCCCCTGCGCATACGAAGCACCGGCGGTGGTGGCCAGCGCGATGTCACAAGTGTCAAAAGCACTCGAGGGTGACAGTGTGTACAAATAGGACCTATTCAAGGTCAAATGAAGATGAAGAAACAAGGGAGAAAACGAGGCCAGACACAGAGTCTATAGTATCGAATGGTGCACAGCAGAGTTCCACGGTCTTGGGGGCAGAGTACTGCGTGCATACCACACAGTCATCTTTATTTTCCGTCTACCTTCCGTTGGGGATGACCGGGATAACCCTTCTTCCTCGCCCCCCCCTTGACGGAGTATATCATTTGAACTTGGCCGCCGAACAGCCTGCAATGGTCGTACTGACATCGTTACATTACTGCACTTGGAAGTAGTAGACACCTTTTATGCTCAAAATTGCAAACCGCTCCACAGCACCCGCATGGAGGTTGATGCCCATTTTTGGCGTCGGTCGGAAGGAAGGAAGTATCTCACAAGGTTGACTGTCAAAAACAATAACACGTAGTACATGCTAGTCTTTGCCTGGATAGTGTAGACTACAGCAGTAGTCTACGAGAGGGTGTCTGCTCTTTCAAACTCACGGCACCCGGCGCAAATTTGTATTCGCGCAGAAGAAGTTCATGCTGGTATGTATGCATTTCTCATTCTTTCGTTGTGACCCTCTCTCGGCGATCTCGATGGAGGATGCGATGCTCAAATAACTAGGATGGACAGCCACATTGCCTGAGAACGCAATGTAAACACAAAGGTGCGTGATCTACAGCAATACCTGGTACCTGGTACTGTAGCCCACGCGGTAGGAACAGACGTCCACAATCTTTTACCTGACCGCCTTCTTCGCAAACCCCTGCCATTTCAACGGCTTCACGGAATGTCTTTGGCGCAACCCGGTTGCAAATCTGCAGATCTGCGTCCTGGTTTAGTGGGTGACGTTGTCTTCTGGAGGAGGTGTGCCACAGAGGGTAAGCTGCCGGGTACATGTATCTGCAGGAGGTGTCCAAGTTGTGTGCAGGATCTCTCACCTGGTCAACGTTACCTCGATCTCGTTGTCTTGAGCGCTTGAAACGCGGGTCTTGCCTAAGATAGCGAGACACAGCACAGTACTGTGGATCCAGTTCAAGCGCCACATGTTCATCCGCGGTTGCGTGTGTTGCACACTCAACACAACACTTAGATCAGTGCACGGGGGTAGATGGCAGATGGCAGACTGGCGAATCAGAGATGTACGCATACGAGATCTACGGTGAGATCTACGGTGAGATCTACGATGAGATCTACGAAATCTACGGGAATATTCACGTCGGCGAAGCACGCAGTCAAACGGTCCCGCCAGAGTAAGTACATGGACCCGTTCACTGTTCATAGAAGACAGGAGGTAGGATTCTAACTCAGCTAATTCATGCTCCTCTCCCGACGTTAAATCTTTGTTGCGGACGAAAATGTGGGGCAGTCTTGCACGCTGCGCTTTTACGGCGGTGCAACCATGTTGTTGCCATCTGTTCCCGGAAAACTGCATCACTCACCGTTTGCAGTGCAACCTTTACTTCTCGAGCCTAGGGACCACTTACGTACCGGTACCGTTGTTGTTGTTATGGTTCTTGTGTTCGACCACATCTCCTCTGGGGTCGATTGTTGTCGTTGTTATTTTCGTTTTCGTCTATCTATTCTGGGTATTTGTTCGGCGCACCAGCCGGGGTCACGCAGGAGAACGGCAAACACAGGATTTTTTGTTTTTTTCTCCGTCTTCCCCCCTGCGCGGTGCTAAGGGTGTTAATTTTTCCCTCCTTTTTGTATACTCTCCCCCGTTATAGTACGACTTTTCGATTCTCGAGATATTTGAAACCATAGCCTATGCAGAAAGGGTTAGAAGATTTCGAGGTTACCAACTGCACCATCGGGGCGATTGGCCTGCCCGAACAAAATAAATCGAAAAATTCCCGCCCGGAAACGTGATCGTCCAACTTCAGCACCTTCCCGATACATGCGGAGACACAAGGCTCGTAATGGGCAAGTGGTGAGGGCCGGCCCACCATGCAAGCTTTACCTTTACGAAAACGGACTTTGTTGCCGCAGGTCGCAGCTCAGTATTCGATCCGGCCCGACGGCCTCGCCGTGGCGTCCGTCCCCCTGGTGCCAAGGCGAGGGGGCCAAGGAGGAGAACGAGCACGCACCTCAGTTCTTTCTTGGTTTGAGCTGATTGCGTACAGCATCTACGTGTAGTCGCGCGAGGCCCCGCTGCTGTTACCACGCCTCGTCTTCCCTGGTTTCAACAAAATATTTCTTTTACAGTCAGTCGCTTGCGGCGTCCTCCCACACATCGCACAGGTGACCTTTCTACGGAGGAGGCACAGCCCACGGGTCATCATTCCGCTGCGAACCACTGCAGTTGCCCACGTATTTTTTCCTCGATCCCCCCGGAAACACATCGTCGACGTCAACATCTGATCGTCGATGTCAACGTCTGCCCTTCCATACGCCACGAAACGCAGGGCGACGAGTTTTAACGTTGTCTCTTTTCTCAAATCTCGTTTTGGAAACAAACGTATATCATGCTACAACAGTATAGTCGACCGAGACCGATCATTATCCTCTATTTCTTCGTGGTGGGGAGCCAACGAATGAAACACGATGAACGGGATCACATTCAGATGGCGCCCGCACTTAAGAAGTTCTAGTTTCGGCCGAGGCTGGGGTTCTTATTTTGCGGATCATCCTCTTGTGGGCTACAAATGGCCGCTATATAGGTGTTAGTGCGGGGTTCTTAAGGGAGCTCACAAATGGTGCGCAAGTTCTTAGCTTCTGATTCCTTGCGAGTCTCAATTTCTTAACTGCTGCTAAGTTCTTAAGTGCGGGCGCTATCTGTACATTAACTTACGGAAACAGCAAATACGTAGCAGATACGTTAACACCACACCAGCCAACGTCTACAGTGACAGTAAACAAGCACAAACGTACAAGCCATCAACAATACACATGTGACAGCCCTCAACGGACACACGGACGAGGCTTTCAGACTGTGAATCACGCCGCAACCGCCCCCGAAAAAAGTACGAGACCTCACCGTTCTACAAAATATATGTGCGATACGTGCGATAAACAGATGGACTATTGCACACATCGCCGCCTCCGATGCCGAACGCGCCGGGTAGCGGTCATGTCTGTGACAAACATTTTCATTCTTCGCTATTGATGCATTTTTTACGAACGCGAGACGACGATACTAGATATAGACACACATGCTGTAAGAAAGAACAGGGATACGTATTCTTCTCGAGATGACTGCAGTCCCAAACAATCACTGCCACTCAAGCGAGCGAATGCCAACAACCCTGTTCTAAGCCCAACCTCCAGATGACGAGCACATCCGTACAATTGTGTCGCGTTGGTCGCGACAAAAAGCACCAAACGGACGAGCGCCGCGGTGACATGCCACACGCGAAAGATACAAGCCAAAACGCCGATTCGATAGATCCTCTACTGCGAACAAATTGGCGCAGAACGTATGGACAAAGCTTTGGCAGGTTGTATTCAATTCTAAAATGAAGGAGAAAAGAAACAGATTCCTTTGCGCACTACCGATGAGGGATAATTTCTCGCTCGGCACGCGTAACACACGCGGGGGAAACCAAACGGTGTTCAACTACCCCACCGCCTCAAAGTGTCCGAAAATAAAAAAAAAGAACCACAAGTAGTACTCATGATGCCCCAACAGTCCAGAACTCTGAGATAGATGAATAAAAAAAAACGTATCCTCCCACAGTTTCGCCTTACCGGCGGCGAAGCGCTTCAAACAGGTTCTCGGAACACGTTTCGGGGAAACGGTACGACGAGCGACAGGGGGCAAGCTGTTGCTGACGGCCCCCAAGAAAATTCAAGAACGCCTACCTCCTTGCAGCACATTTCTCCGTTTCCATTACGCCCGGGGTATCCTATGGCGCACGAGTGCGCGCATAAATATTGTGTCAAAAACGGGAAAAAAGGTGCTACGAAATGAACATGCCCGATCAAGTGAATATCGCGCTTCGGCCACGTCGCCGGACTTGAGGACGGCCTCGACGTCATTGCAACGGGGGGTGGGCGCACGATTTCTTCTTGGCGCCCAAGACACGAGTGAGTACCGCCAAGATCATCGTCCGTCCGGCTACGGCAACGAGCAACGAGCTCGACACAGCGGGCCGAGAGCCTACCGTCGAGAGCACTGGTCGAATCCTTCGTCGAGCCACAACCCGCGCCGCGTGTAGTCCCGCTGTTGTTGCCCAGAGTGAGCGACTATCCCTTCTTCTTCCACCCTCTCCTCTACCTCCAACCCACAAGCGAAATCAAAACGACGGCCCTCCATGAACAGAACCTTCACCACACTGACCAGAAAGAAACCACTGTGGTCTCTCCACACAAACACACCCAACAAGCGACATCAAAACGACGGCCCTCCATGAACAGAACCTTCACCACACCTACCAGTAAAAAAAAACACTACACAGTCTCTCCACACGGACACACCCAAAAACAACCAAGGTCTGCGCCGTGCCGTTGCAGAAAACAAAACGAACCCCCTCTCTTTTTACGCCGAGTTCTCGCTGCTCCAGCCCAAGGGTCGCGGCCACTCGCTCGGCATTGCGTCCTCCTTCCTACGGCACCGCCACCCCCACCCCCACTCGCCCGCTCCCGCCCCCTCCCGCTTTTGGCGTCCTTCTTGTACATCCGCGAGATCCGCATCGCCGGCGGTGGCGGGAAAAAGGACTTCATCCCCTCTGGCGAAGAGGACGAACAGGACGCCGCACGCGCCGCACAGGGCGCCTATCGTGCCCATCGCCGCGGTCCACGCCTCCGGTTCCCCGCCCCCGCCGAACGTGTCCAGCAGCTTCCCCGTCAGGGAGATGCCGAGCACGCTCGCGGCCGCGCTGATGGAGTTGGCCACCGAGTAGAGCATCGCCGCGTGCTGCGGGGCGGCGATCTCCATGTGGTTGGTCGACCAGCCCCCCCTCGAGAGGGCGGCGCTCGCCAGCGCCAGCGAGGACACCACGGTCGCGGCGGCGCAGCTTCGGGGCAGGCCCATGCAGGGTAAGACGGCGACGGAGAGGGAAAAGGCGGCCCCGGCGACGAGCTTGGAGGACCGCGCCCTCGGGAGGCCGCGACCGTTGACGAGCCACGAGTAGGAGACGCCGCCCAGGACGGAGAACGCCATCATGGTCAGGTAGGGCGAGAGCTGCTCTCAGGGTGGCGGTGGCGGTTCCATTTTTGCGTTACGCCGGGGAGGTAGAAAAAGGGTGTTGCGATGACGGAATCGCGACGGCAGCGGGTTCAGGGAGGAGTTCAGGGACGGGAGATACGGTTGAGCAGCGATCTCCATTAGAGAATAGATGTCGCGTGGCCAATACGTGAAAGCGGGCGGGGATGGGGGGGGCGGGAGGGGGATACGTTCGTTCGAGGTGCGGCGGAAATCGTCGGGCGGGGATTCATGCGTAAGTAGAGAATTTTGGTGAATTCCAACGCCACAAAAAAAGGCCGAATTTTGAAGGTGGGAGGGTGGGGACAAACGGAGGCAGAAAGCTTGCGCGGAATAACACGAGGCATTATTTTGCCTACAGATGTAAGGCACAGTCATCCCATGTTATTTCGCCCCCCCCGGTGTTTGCCATCGGGGTTGGGTTTTCGTCGCTTGGCA